ACCTGCGTGATTATTTGTGGGATGTTGACAGTAACAACTGTGTCTGTAAGCCAGACACAGAGATGCAGGGGAAAATAATATATTCTCATAGCTTAGTGAGGATCCAGTCTGAGGTGCATTCATCCATTTGGCTGTCATAAATTTCTCCTATTACACTAAGTAAATGGTAATGGCAAATGGCCTGCATTTGTATAGCGCTTTTCTAGTCCTTAAGGACCCCAAAGCGCTTCACACTACATTCAGTCATTCACCCATTCACACACACTGGCGATGGCAAGCTACATTGTAGCCACAGCTGCCCTGGGGCGCACTGACAGAAATAAATAATAATAAATTTCTCCTATTACACTAAGTAGAATTTGGCAGGTCAGATGTGGACGATAATCAGCGTATAATTGGTGTTAATTGGCCCACTCTGTGTTAGCAGTGGCCATGAAGCCAGCGGCCCAGTCTGTAGCTCCTGCCCCCTGCGCTGTAAACAACGTAAAGAAAGATGATGGAAGCAAGGTGGAGGACAGAAGCGTCTCGTCTGACCAGTTGGTGCCAGACTCAGCAGCACGGCCGGTAAGGGCCTGTTTTTTCCTTTTGTGACTAACATCTGTATCTGTCCTCTGCTTCTTTGATCCCTCTTCTTCCTACCTGACATTGTCATGTTGAATTCATCTTTGTTCTCTCGTGTTTGACCAGCAGGATGAGACCGGGAATGCTTCTAATGGGAGATCACAAACACTGCCTTTGCTATCTGACAACTGTGAGTTACATAGTTTTCTCTTGTTTGTTTGTGTTTTTATAGCAGGCTTGCAGCTTCTGTCTCTTTTGCAAAGCTTGACCACCGAATCGTTCTCTCACTTTGGAACATGGTTTCTAATAGAAAGGGAACTTAAGGAGGTTAACTAAATGTCAACATAATGGGCATAAAGGCTCCATTCTGGTTGTTATTTGGCTTTTTGTACCAGTACTTGCCTTCAGCATTGCTTACGATCTTTTGACTGCTTCACAAGCGTGTGCTGCTACCTTCTGTTCAGCTAGTACCCACTCTAGTTAGAGGTCATTGCAACACTTTGTCAGGACTGACTTGTAGAGATGGGATTTTTAGACTTTCCACAGATGCATGATGTGAAGAAAAATGACTACATTACCACCACATAATCAATTAATGATTCAGGAATATCTTGTGGGCTCTTATTTTCATTCTTCCTTAAATTTGATTACATTTATTCCAACCCAATACATGTTCTTCACCACCACTGTTAAGTCATCTAGGCCCATGGCGATCATTAGGTGAACCTGATATGTTGGTACATTCCTAGTAAATCTGTGTTTGCGGGAAACGGTGAACTTTCAGATTTGCTAAGGATCTGAGTCAGTTTTTAGGGTTAAAGTTCCTGTCCAGAAGAGACAGAGGCTTCCATTCTTGGTAGATGCTAGTGCAGGTCTTTAGTGTGTAAAAATGAATGCAGTTTGTTGTGTTTACAGGGAGAAACCTAAAGGTAAAACACCTCAAATTGACCATGGTAGTTCTTACTGCTAAATACCCAATAAGCTGCATTGCAAGCCAGCTGTTAACCGATGCCTACAGTAATACAAAATCTGATACATAGATATAAACTGCAAATGTGTGGGGTGTCATCTAAATCTGAATTTAACTAATCCTGAAATGGGCTTAGCCAGGATCTAATGTCTCTGATCTTTGTCTAAAAGTGATCATTGCAGATCCCTACTTTATTTTCTTCTCTGTTTTATTACTTCAGGGATCTGTCAGTGACTTTACTCATGCCTGAATATCAAAGTGAAACATGCATTTTTCTTTCCTAAGTGAGACATTGCCACTGTGCATTGTAAGTGTGCAAAGCTGGCGTGGAGTTTGCCTAGGAGGAGCGGTACCCATCTAAAACATGGCTGCGTCCCCGTCATGCATCATGTGTATGACAGCAGGCCTGCCAGCATCTTGTGAAAGTGGTCCGGTGTAATAAGGGGCTGTATCAACACTCATTCACCGAGCCCTCACCTTACTGAGGTGTGAAGCAGCTCTAATAGGAAAACATACCATAACTGCAGACAACCCAGTATGACTACAAGAAGCAGGGGAAAAGCATCTTTTTCTGCTGCTTTTAAGACTTTTCTTTTTTTCTGTTTGTTACTCATAAGAGCTCAGGTTCAGGTCACTTTTTATGAATGAGCTGCCCTGGGGTCGATGCAGATATCACCTGCATTTGAGGAATTTTTACATTTATTATAATGTGATTTCTGTTTGTCAACAGGCACATTTAAGAAGGCAGACACATCATCCTTAACAGCAACTGATGACAATCTTCTGAATGGTGGTAAAGTGGATGACGTGTGAGTATCCTGTTAAACCTATATATATAGATAGATAGATATCTATATAGATATATATATATATATATGCACAGAATAAAAAAGTACAAAATACAGCAACTGGCAGGATCTGAGCATTAACCATAATTACCTGTCAGCCATTTAATCTGCCAGCCTCAGCTCAGCATGCAGATAGTCCTTGACGGTGTTTGGCCCACACTTTTTGGCAAATCGTCCAGACTATCAGTTCACCTTTGCTGAGGGACAGCACTTAAAATAATTACAGTAAACTACCCCGTGCGTCATGTAAAAGCTTGAAAATGAAACAAAACAAGACATTACCTGCACACAGATGCCATATTGAGGTTTTGTGACTCTTCTTGATTTAATTTTAAATCCTGTAATCCACCAGGTCTGTGAAGAAGGAGAAGATGAGGCAGAACTTGTTGCAGTGGACTGTGGCAGATGTGGCCAGTTATTTCTCAGCTGCAGGATTTCCCGAGCAGGCTGTCGCTTTTCGAACACAGGTTAGTGCAGCGGTACAGAGCTGCTACAGAGAGCATTGCTCATACATCAGAGTCAAACCTAACATACTCCATCACTTCTAGGATTTTGTTTTAATGTATTATTTTTTTAGAGGCTTTGTATATACACTATGAGTCTGTTGCACTGTTCAAAACTGAAGAATGGTGCTGTCGGGTTAAATACTCAAAGCGTGTCTTTAGAAACCCAAGCGTAATTCTAATTATATTCTTTTCCCTCTTTTGCAGGAAATTGATGGGAAGTCTCTTCTTTTGATGCAGCGTAGTGACGTATTGACCGGGCTGTCTATCCGACTCGGCCCTGCCCTCAAAATCTACGAGCGCCATGTAAAAGTGCTGCAGAGGACCCATTTCCTGGAATGCGAAGACCTTTGAAGTGGCGATTGACATGGCAGACTGCTGCATTGACTCAAACTTGCATTTAGTGCCCCCTCTCACTACTGCCCACTTTCATATACAGTATGTGTAGAGGGTGTGTGGTGGAGGGTTTCGGTGGAATTGACTTTCACTGTGAGAATGACCAGAAACTGAAACACAGTCGTCCTACCTCTCATTACGGTCTTTAGTTTTCAGATGGTTTTCATTTCACTCATCGCGACCCCGTTATGGAGGGAAGAGACCGCTGCAGTCCGAGTGTTTTAAAGCGGTGCAGCAGCAACCTTTCTGCAAGAGTAAAACACTGGGAAAGTGAAAAGTTTAAGCCTTCCAACCAAGTGGACCACCTACACAGACATGGCTGTGGACACAGTGCGGTCGCAGCTTTGGATGTCCCCTCTGTGTCTGTTACCACACATTCTGTTTACCCAGAAACTGTTAATCACAGAAAACAAAGCACAGCAATTGTGCAGTTTGCTTTTTTTTTTCCCTTTAATTTTTTTTAATTTCATGTGATGAGTGCTGGAGAAGTCAGACTATCCAAGTACCTGCATTGTTAGGGCTGCCCTTTATATCTTGTTTTTCTTTGAAGCCTTGGTAATCAGCAGTGAATAGTTGACAATTTTATAACTAAAGCATCATCTGACAGGTGCCGTGCAGAGAGAATGAACAGCAGGACAACAATGGGAGCTAGAGCTCCATTGCAAACCAGTACTTTCATAGGTTTTTTTTTTTTTACTTGCTAAATAGGTATGAAAGTCACTAATTAGCAGCAGTGAGGTGAACTAAAGCATGACAATCACTGCTGAGAGTCAGATGCTGTGCACTCAAGCTCAGATTTTATGGGTTTGTGTTTTTTTTCCACATTGAGAAAGAAAAAAGTTCCACCTACACGATGAACAAATATCCGAGTATTTGGGTGCAGCCCTAATCTGCAGAGTCTGATTCCTAACCTATCATTGCCACCAGTAGCTGCTGTTTTGGATTATTTCTTCAGTACCTTTTATAACACTGAGGCCCTTTTCAGACATGGGATATGTGACATTGGTGTCAAAGCGACGGCACTGTCATTCAAACGTAAGCCACATTCCTGTTAATGTTCCTCTCGATTTCATTCAGCAGTGACGGAGGCCCGCGGCACACGTGCATCGCAGAGGAATGTTTTACTGCGAATCAGGTCCAGAACAAAGTGTCAATGTGTATTTGTTATTGCTCTTTAGGGCATTCTCTAGTGCATGTCTGAAAGGGGCTGGAGATATAACCAACACTTGAGCTGATATGCTACAACCTGAGGGTTTTTTTTTTTTGTTTTTTTTGTTTTTTTTGGGGGGGGGGTTGTTTTTTCTCCTTGTATTGTCTTAATTAAAAATGACTGTGGTCCAACAATACAGTTGCACTTTGGGGAACGATTGCAAATAGATGTGACCAGAATATGTGCAACCTAAAGGAACTTGCTTTTACACATACACAAGATAAACCTGCAAGAAATGTTGTTGTAATACCGAATATATTGTGAGACATTCAACGGAGCTGCTCAGCATCTGTTTACAAACAGATATCTCGATGAAATGCAATATTTTATCTTCTCTTATTCCTTTATAATTTTGTCTCGTCTGTCTTTGTGTTTTGATCTAAGCCAGCCACTTGAATTGTAACATTCCACATAATGTAGTCCGCATCTCCAGTGTATTTCCCTCCACGTTTTATCTGTAACACAACAGACACTTTTGCGGAGTTGCAAATAAAACTCGTGTCTCCGCTCAGTTGTTTTGTGAGAGTTTATTACCCTTAAATCAACAGTACACCGAAAAGCAATTGTTTCATTGGTTCGGTGACTTAAAGTAATGTAAACAAACCTTACACTACAGATGGAAATCCCTGCAAAAAATATCTATTTTTTTTGTCCCTTACAGTTTTCAGTAACAAATTCACTCATCTGATCTTCAAATTCAGCTTTGTGTGAAAAGCGCCTTCAGGGGAAACACGATTCATAACAGTGAATAAACTTCATAAGAGAACAGTGTTAGTATAAAGGTCACTGAGTAGAGTATTGCATGAGCTACGTGACACCACCAAGTTTTCAGCTCCAGGCTGCATAGTAGAGAATATTTTTGATAAAATTTCACTGATTGGGCTGATAAAAGCTACGATTTTTTTTTTTAAACTTTTGAATATTGTGCAACACATAAAAAGAATAATAAATAAAAAGGACATCTTTTATCTTCTAGATTGCATATAACATTAAAATAAGACTTTATTGCATTTCACTAGCTTCCTTTCAATGTGACAGTCCTTCAGTTACCAGTCCAGCACTGTAAATACCGCTCCTTATTACCTCAGCGCACAGTCCCTGACATCCAGGGGGATGCATGGGCCCTTAAAAAGGACCGCTACCAGTGAGGAGTTGGATGGGTGTAGCAGCTGTTGTTGCCTGTGCTTATATCTACAGGATGAAGGGCAGTATGGAGGAGCGCAGGGTGGGATAATCCCTAAACTCCTTTAAGTAGCTGCGGTGTTTGCCTTTAGCCCAAACCGTCATCTGGATGAAGGCCACAAGAGTGAAGAAAGCCACAGGCACACACTGGGTCATCACTGTGAAGCCGATCCAGGAGCCGACCTGTGAGCAATAGGTTTACAGACACACACACATAGAGTGCATGGAGAATGATGGTACAGTTACAGAACATAACCACCAGATGGCAATGCAGCTTTCCTTGGGAGGGTAAAATGCAGCACTGTACAATGAAATGTTAACCTTTAGTGTTCTAGTGGAGTAACATTAAAAAATACGAATAACACCAAAATGAGCATAGACCCAGAAAATTCCCCTTAAATAAATATATAAATACTAGATGTTATAGATTCATCTACCTAAGGAAAAAGGGTGAACTTCACCGAAATATGGAGTTTGATTTGGGCTTACCTCATATGTGTAGTTTGGACAAGAGACCAGCCAAAAGATCCAGGTGAAGGGGTTTTTTGTTGGATAAGGAATCTTCTTGGTTTTGGAGCCTGAAACGAAGGATAAACTCAAACTGCACTGTGCATTTAAAAAGAAATCAGTAAGAAAAGGAGACTGAAAATCACACGTATTGCTGCAAAACGCTCACCTGGTGTTTTGAGGTTACGAAGCGCCACGTGGATGGAAAAATTCCCTATTTGACAGAACTGTGGGGATAAAGATATTCAAAGATGAGCATGCAACAGGATGGTGGGTTTAAAATGTGGAAGGTGACTCTCAGAGAGCTGATGCTTACCAGGAAAATGTAAAGACCTGCATTCACCTGCTGCTGCCCGTAATCTGTTGACGTGTCACAGAAAAATGGATTAAGATAGAAGTTGGCGTTGACTGACGAGCTAAAGTGAGAATGAAAGGGGTCAGCACTTACAGGGTGTGGTGTAGAGAGGGTGGTTAATGTAGTATGCCATCCAAGCTGCCGTAGACCAGTAATAGCCACAGTTCTGGAATAGAAAGCAGGACTATAATAAGTCAAAGTGTCTAGATATTGCTCCACATAGATTTCTGAGAAGAGTAACCACAAACAAAGTAATAACTACAATGCACAAAGCTTTAAATGTGCAGCACAGTCACCTTAAATATGTTCCTGAGAGGCATGGTCCCATGGGAGATACGATGGACAAACAGTGTCTCTAGAATCCTCTTGATGTAGTGGAAGGAGTGACATATGCAGGCCAAACTGCAACAAGACACACAAGCACAAAGACACACTTACATATTTAGCTGTGATTAATACATCGCCCCGCTGCAGTCCATTACACTTGGCGCTGACTCAGTGTCAACATAGCAATATGCTTCCCAACTGTTTGTCATGCTGACGGGGGAGGTGGGGGGGTCTGTGCAAAGCCCGGGATTGTGTGAAACACTGCACCAACATCACAACAGATCTCTGAAAACATGGGAAAGCCGACACTCACTGTACGATCCAGTGCTTGCTGCTGGTGAAGTCATACTTTGGAGAGTAGATGAAGGGAAGGCGGAAGTAGAACATTAAGTAGATGATCAGCGGGCCAGCACACTCTGCCAGGAACACCTGAAGTGAGTGAGGAGACACATGTGCTTAAAGTCAAGGGTTCTCAAAGCTTTGTGACCAAGGGCCAGTTAAGGGATTTGTGTGGAAAGCTGCACATATTAAAAAAAATGCACACATTAAAGGAGAAATGTTGTTTGGCTGTATTTTATCTTGGCCTGTTTTTCATTTTATTCAGTATAATCAGTTACATTCTTTGGCAGCAGGTGTAGGATGGTTTAGTGGGATATGATGGCTGGAATTGAAGAGTTCCAGCTGGATGTTAGAAATGCTACTATACTCACTGGCCACTTCTTTAGGTACACCTGTTTGCCTGCTCTTTTCAACAAATATCTAACCAGCCGGTTACAGTTATATAGCCTACGAAGGAATATTAGGGCCTCATTTCAGACGGATCAGATGGAAAAGCGCACAAGAGCGGATTTGTACAAAATGAAATAGCTGGTATTGGAAAGATGCAAGGTTATCGATGGTTACACCCCGGTCCAATAAGAGGATGTATGTTGTGTCACAAGACGGCGGATCAATTTGTTTCACTAACTCATCTAAACAAGTCATTTTTAGAGGGTATAGCGAACATGGTAGTTTGTCTTGAAACAAAAATGATCATCTCAACATTTCGACTTTTTTCTCAAAATAATCGTTAATATTTTTTTCATTAATGTGGCCCTAATAAATACTCCATCGTAACATAGAATCAACTCAATCCACTTCTGCATGTAGACATGCCCCAGGCAGTCTGCTGAAGTTCAAACTGAGCATCAGAATGGGGAAAAAAAGTGATTTAAGCTACTTTGAATGTGACATTGTTTTTAGTGTCAGAGTGCTAGTCTGAGTATTTCGGAAACTGGTGCCATAACAACCATATCAAGGATTTATACAGAATGGTCCAAAAAACAGAGAAAACATCCAGTGAGTGGCAGTTATTTGGGTAAAAAGTCCTTGCTGATGTCAAAGATGAGATGAAAATGGCCAGTCTGCTTCCTGCTGATAGGAAGGCAACAACAACTCAACCACTCGTTAGAACCAAGGTATGCAAAAGAGAATCTCTGAACACCCAACACACTGAAGCTTGAAGCGGATGGGCTACAGCAGAATAACACATCATGTCACAAAGGTTTGGTCAAACTGCATTCTTAAACATAGCTTGAACAAGTTCACTGTACTCAGAATCCATTACTTTTCTTCATGGATGTGCAGCTGACAAACCTGCACCGTGTGGCTCTGTTTCAACAAAATGAACCAAATTCTCTGAGGAATGTTTTCAGCACATTGTTGAATCTCTGTCACTAAGATTAAGGCAGTTCTGAAGATCGAAGAGGGTCCAAACCCTTTACTGGGATAAAGTGTATCTAATAAAGTGACTTTAGTATATTTATCATAATATGATATCATAACAACATATGACCTGTTGATGAATGAAAAGTTAAAAACAAATCAGGGGTTGCATAAGTTAATACCAGGACTACAGTTTGAGAACTCCAGCTTTAAATGCTTTTAACTCAGTGCCATAAATTCCAGTAGCTTTCAAATTACAGAAATTAACATAGACTAATTATTGACTGAAATCCATTTAGAATAATACTTTGTCAGTGTAAACCCTATGCCACAGGGAGAACATGCAACTGACACCTGACATCCTCACCAGCCCACTAACAGCTGACACCAGCGTGGCTCTGGTTTCTACAGTCTCACTTGTTAAAGCCACCATGGATCAAAAAGGTCTGTCTACCTCACCTAAGCATTAGGAACAAATCAGTTACAGTAATACTCCTCCTCATATTCAGTATGTACGCATAGACCAGATGAGATACTGGGACAGCTTGTAACACCCGCTTTAAGATCAAGTGACACAGCTGTGAAACAGATCCCTGAATCAGCACCTTAGGCGGAGGCCTGGCTCAGCATGCCTGACTGGTTGCTACTTCTGATCGCTGCTCGTCCACCCACACTGGCATCAGACTAAAGGCATTTTTCTCAGATTGTCTCAGGGTTTGACGGGGAATGTAAAGACTGGGTGGGCATGGGTAAGTAAAGAGCAGCAATGAAACGGGAGTGAGTGGTCAGGAGGGATAAACGCCTCAGGGGGGAAATGAGGCCATGAGATTAAATGTCCTAGGACAGAGGACATGCAGTGCAAGAGGTGGGGGTAGTGCAGGGGGGACGCCACAGCAAATCAACTCTACCTGTCACTATAGGCTGATATTTATATTCAAGAGTTATTGAGTGGGTGAAAGGGTGTCTTTGTATATTTAAAGTGCAAGAATGTTAAAAGATCGTGTCGAGGGGTTTGCATGTTTTAGCATAACAAGTGCAAAGCAGTTTTTGTAAAGCAGTTCTCTTTAAGTGATAGTCAGCAGATTAAAAACAAACATGCAAACATGAGAATTAAATCATTTCTTCTAATACAAATATGCGTCTTTAGAGTATATTTAAATCCCAGAGCAGAGGCATTACAGAGCAATATGTTCATGACTTGACACACAACACTAAATCCAAATGTTGTGTGTCTGTGTACAGGTGGACTTACAGTTCCCCACGTGAGCTGGGGTCCCAGGTCACTGAAGTAAAAGCTGGCTGTGGTTCCCACAGGAAGTGTCTGGAGAATGTCCTCATCCCTGAGACACTTTGCCTCTGAGGCAAAAACAGTCACCATCACGACCTGCTCTGTAATCTAGATAAATGCTTTAAAAACAAAAAAGGTGGCAGACTTACTTGGATCTAAGCGTAGGGACTGTCGGGCCGGATACCACTTAGGATCTGTCAAAATAGGGAGGAACTTTACTATTAGTATTCTGAAGAGATTCTTTGTGGTCCAAGTGTCTCACTGCTGTAGCTGCTTTCGTGTTTGTACTGAACATCGCTACCAGATTGAATGTAATTGGGATTCAGCAAAGTCAGCAAGAGTCATTTTGGATGTCGTGCAGGATGAACTTACATGATTTGTGAAACAAAGCTTTAATTTCCAAAACAGTGGCAGTTGGCTCCACCTAAAATCAAAATATAAAAATAAAATATGTTAAGGATTGTGTTATTACCAGCAGCACAAAAAAACAACGCTGAAATCATTCCTGCTGTCTTGATCCATTTTGTTTTGATTCCTTGTGAAACTTGTCAGGCTCGTCGACTCTGTTATGAGCCCTCCTTCTACGGGCATAGCTTGTAACATTTACACTAGCTACTAATCAAGCCTATCTGCGATGCGGGCATGTGCTGTAACTGAAACAGAAAATTCCTGTCAGATGAGGAGGGAATTCTCACCTCCTAACTGCAACGTCAATAGAAACATAACTGATAATGGCTGCACTCGACTGGGCAAACTGTGAAACAGATGATTATCTTTAAAGAGCATCCGTGTGTTCAAAGTAACCGTTCTGTATTTCCTTGGCTTCGCTGCAGAGTAAGATCAGGTTTTGCCGCTTGCAGCACAGACTTCACATGTATAAAATATGAAACTTTCAGAGGAGTGAGAACAAGGTGATAAATCAATCCACTCTATGGCATGCTAATGTTTTGAGCCTTTCTTTTAAATAGGACTTTAGTTGTGTGGCTGCAATCAAAGTGATCTGCTAAATCATCATTACGCTAAATATAAAAGGTGAGTGTAATTAAATAAAGACCCTTTTGACATCCTCTCACTCACCTTGTCCAGCAGCAATAGCTTCTCCTTTGTCTTTAAATCCACAATCTCCACCTCAAAGTAAACAATCCTTTTGGCCTTTTTGGGGGCTTTTGGTTTTGGCCTCGGTGCAGCTTTCTTCTCAGGCTCTACTGCATCTACCTTCTTTGCCTCTAATGCGAGTACATCCATGACACTGTTTGATCCCAAACCTCAATAGCGTGGGGAAATAATCTGTGATATGTCCAGTGACGCTGGTTGTGCTCCACTGGTATGTGTAACAGCTACCAGCTCGTCTCCAGAGAAGCTGTTAGTCCAGTTCAAGAGTCTCTTGTGTCTCTCAGACTCAGTGAATATCCTTCCACTTTCTGAGTTTCTTCCACAGAGGAGTGACCATAAACACTTGAGGCAATGGCACTGAGCAGAAGTCAGAGGAGAGCTAGTCTAAAACCATGAAGTAGACCTGCTCTTCACCTGAACAGAATCCTGTTCAAGATCCGCAGCCCCCACTTCACGCAGCAAAATGCACTGAAGACGAAACTGGAGAGGCCCAAGACATAATCCATAGCGCGCCATTTGCGAGGCTAAATATAAGTCGCCTGATTTGCTCTGCTCCAGCTTGGTAACCTTGGGAAGCCACATACAGTACAACCTTAGCCGGTGACAGATGCCAACATTTTCTCATTAGACCTATAAGACACATCTGCTCCCCGCTCTGCTCCTCGCTTGGTCACACAGTGAGGGGTCCCGCTGAAAACCTGATCAGTCAGATGAAAGATCTCCACATGCCCACACATCCCTCTATCCCCCAAACCACCTGTGAGGCTTGTTTTCTCGTTCTGAAAAACCACAACAAAGGCAAACCTGTTTATTCAGGGCCTGCGTCAGTTCACAGTTTGTGTGCCGAACACATTCTGAAACACTTCAAGGGGGTTTGTTTTGAGAGGCGGGTGATAAAAATGCTGATTGGGAGAACATCAGAGATGCCTTTCATTGCACTGGGTCAGCTCATCATTGCAAATAGCCAGCTGCATATCTATAGTCTATGTTCTATTTATAACAAGTAAGAGCAGCACAGGGCAGAAGCAGGCAGCAGTACACGTGCATTCCCAGATCACTTCTGAGTCTTGGATTTGACACATTCCAGTTTAACCGTAATCCGTTTCATGCTAATAAACTCATTTATGTGTTGATCTGGGCCTGCTTCTTTTTCAAGGTGGTTACACTGAGATCTGATCTTGTGACGTCGTTGTGATCCTTCACAGTGATTTGTGGAGCAGCTACAATC